ACGTTTATTAGAAAAATGTGTGTTTAAAGTACTAGGATTGTCATTAACACTACAATCTAGTAGTGTTTCTTTTTATTTGTAAGTGACGAAAGTCTCAAATTCGACTCACTTGACTAATGAGTTTAATATCTAATTATTATGGATGCTCGTTACTTGGTTTAAGCCCGAATCTTTGTTACATGTGAACAATTTTTTATTGCAAATTCATGTAAGTGCCATAGTGTGACCCCCCACGTATTAACTTAAAAAATAATCATATCTCGGTTGCATGATTGATCCTCACATTTTTCTTCAAAATACAACATTGTTATAAACATAAAAAATAGAAATTAAAAATGAATTTAGCACTTAAAATGGTGACTTGTGTTGATACACAAAACCGGAGGTCTTGGAACAACGTAAATCCGACCGTGAATCTGCAAGAAAGTAAAGAACACAAGATGTATCGTGGTTCACCCCAATGTTTGGGCTACGTCCACACTGGTTATGTATTTATCTGAGAGAGAGGGAGCTCTGAGAGTGAGAGCTTTGAGAGGGTGAGGAGCCTTAGGAAATGACCTCCCTAATTGTGAGGGTGAGGGGTCATTTTATAGAATAAGGACTCCTCACTTATTACATATTTGCCCCTTCCTTTATCACATAATTACATTTAAGCCCTCCGAGTATTTGTACGAGATCTAAATACGGAGGCCCTAAATATGGTATAAACAGTAGTCCCCCAAGTCTTCAGTCAAGAGAATATTTTGGCTGGAGACTTGAAATTCAATCCATGTGTGGGCCGAAGTAACTAGATGGCTGTTGAAATTCAGCATTTTGCTTGCTTTGGATCTGATGCACCTAAATTTCAATGCAAACTCAGTCTTGACAAAGAGAGAGAGAGAGAGCCGAGAGGTGGGGATTTGTAAAAGGAGGAATGTTGCTTGCTTATTAATGAAGGACGTTGGGGTTTCGATTTTTGTGTTACGGAAACTTATTAATTATTCTTATAAGGTATTTTGCACGTTTGAGATTTTTCATTTGAGGATTTCCGTGTTATAATATATATTAGAGAAAATGCTATGATATTTTTTTTTAAAGTAAGATTCTTTATAAACTCTCACACATTATATTTTTGCATAATGTTGACTTAAAAATTAACGTTAAACTATGTTTTTTTTTATAATTTTTTTTATACAAACGATATCGTTAATGGGTTAAATTGTTATTAAAAAAAAAGCCCGAATGGTTAAGATTGAACTCATACGAAAATACGTAGTTATCACTACTTTCGACCGCTATAATAAATAAAATTGCCGCTATAATAAATAAATGGATGTGCTATCCACACATCCCATTTTACTTCTCATACACTCTTGATAATTTTTGTCCGTTGATCTTCTTCAATTCATCTGATCCGACTGCCGAAAATTAAAAAGGTATGTGAAAAGTAAAATAGAGTGTGTAAATATCACACCTCTAAATAAAACCGCATGTAGAGGATTTTCATGTTATTTACTTTTCTTAAAAATCAAGCACATACTACTTTTTGGCCCAGTTACTTTAGTTTAGCATTATTTTTAGTTTCTTTTTCTCTTGAAAGAAGTTTATTTTTCTCTGTGACAATCTACTTCTATACTTCATATTATTAAATTTAAACAAAATTAATATTATTAAAAAATTTGAATGCATTCATTTGCTTATTCTTGGGCATGCTAATGTTTCACCCTCAAATTATCGGCACGGTGACAATTAATTTGGCCAAGCTAGCCTTCTATGCTATGTTAAAGTTGATTTAAATTGAAGAATATTTTTTATGTTATCCTTAATGTACTATTTTATATTTGTATCATTTTTCAATATTATAATAAAACCGTTAACATTTCGTCTAAAAATTTTTAAAAAGATTTCAAATTTGACATTTCTAACTTTTAAAAATTGGTGTTGTTTACGGCGTGTGTCATGTATGATGGATGCTAGATACTCGAGTATAATAAATAAATAAAACTATTATATCAACTGTTGAATATAGTAGAATAACCTAAGAACTTTTTTCCAAATCTTTTAATTATGTTCTAACACTTTAGCTAGCATTCTAACCTAACTTATTAAGTGAGATTGAACATGAAAAAACTATAATACGTTGCACATTGTTAACGCTCAAATTTTGGAGGTTAATAAAGGTCAGTGTGGTTGGCTCTTGATGGGCTTGAGTTTGAAACAATAAGAACTAAACAACAAAATTTAAGTGGTTCACTCCTAAAAACTGGGCTACGTCCACTGTGGTGGATATTGAATAAGGGTTACAATAAGTGCTCAAAGTAATCTAATCTTTTTTTCTTTCTTTTTGTTTGATCGTTATAATGTGTACTCACCCTCCTTATACAAGTCTTTAGTGAGCCCTATGACTTTGAGCTTGAGTTTTCAACCGCCTTCACATTTAATGGACCAAGTACATTGACGTGACCTGCTAGTTGTCCCTTCGTTATTTAGTCGACACATGGCAACGAAGTGACACTTATTCAGATCCACTTGCATGTTTTCTTGGGCCAATGTGTACCAAGTACTTTGTTCGGCCCTAGGGTTGTGGAAACTCATGCCCAAGCGCTTGATCTGTCAGCCTTTATGTCCCTTCATAGGCTTATGTTCTCGCAAATGACCACCATGTGTTGGTGTCCGAGTAGACTTGCCCCTAGAAATTCATGTCATAATGTTGTTAGTATGCCAACTTGCTCATAGTGGTCGGAAAGTACTATATGAGGAAGCGCTCGGCTTTACTGCTAGTAGGAAAATCAGACTATTGAGTGGTCATCTATAGCGTCAGAATAATCTTTTTAATTCTGTTGGGCCTTGGTCTTCCTTCCCTTGGGCCTCTATCTTCCCTTCTTTCTTTGGGCTTTTATTCTTCCTTTGAACTTTTATCTTCATTTCTTCATTTGAGCCTTAACTGGACTTCTCCCAAGTTTGTACTATTTTAGAGGTCCAAGGATCATGTGTTAACATACGTGACATCCACATAAAAAAGAAATTGACAAAAATTAAAAATAAAATTGGTAATAAAACTAAACAATAGTGGTAAAATCAACAAAATTGAAACTACAATAATTTTAAACTGACAATGATGAACCAAAGTATCATTTGCGACTTTATCTCAAGTTCAGACTCACAAATCTAAAAAGAAAAGTTGGATGAGTACGTGAATTTCATTAAAAACATATCATGTTAGGTTTGCATATCCTTGTAATTTTGCAGAAGGTCTTCAATTCTACTGCCTCCTAAGCCACCAAATTGGAAGTGGCAAATTTTTTTTATTTTGACAAACATAATATTTACACTAAAGGGTGTGAGGGAGTGGGTTAAGTCTCACAGTGGACCAGCTATAAGGCTATAATAATGTGGTTCAACTTCTCATTTAGCTAGAATCGAACCTAAAACCTCTCACTTACAAGTAAAGAGGAATAACACTATATCGTAGTACTAAAGGGCAAAATGATAATTAATCTTAAACGTTACCAAACGGTATCCAAAGCTTAAGAAAACAAAACTCCACCAACTAGCTCTTGGTGTACTAGTGTTGTATTCCATAAGAGGTTTCGAGTCTAATTTCAACTTTACCCAATGAAAAATGAATTTCAATAAACCCCACCAACTAGCTCTTGATCCAATTTTTTTCTTTTCAATTCCTCGTGTTCATTCACCACTCCCGCACCCAATGGAAAAATGAAAATTTCTAACAAGCGTCGCCAACAAACTCTTGATCCAGTACTCTGTTCTTCCTAATTCTAAGAGAGGTTCTATGTTTACCCGTTGAAATACAAGGTTCCAAACTTCCAACAAACCCCAATTTGGTGTCTTACCTAGTTTTTAAAATTTTTAATGTTCACATGGGGTTAGATTGACATGTGACATCCAGTCATTATCTACATGGGTGCCACGTCATGCATTAACAAAGGTTTTGAAAAAGTCTAACAAAAGTATGAAAGTGTCCCACAATCCTCACTTTTCTTTTTTTGACAATGGGATGAAAAAAACTTGATGTATAAAAGTTTAAAAACCACGATATGTATAGTAAAGTGAGAATTACCTTAATATTGTAATCTAAATCCTTGAATCAAATATAAGATTGATTAACTATGATAGGGGTGGTTCGTTATGGAATCCCAAACTGAAAATGGGATCCTGAATCCAAACCGAAAATTTTCGGGATGAGAATTTGAAGACCAATCCCGAACTGAAATTTCGTTATTCCTAATTTTCAGGATTCCCGAAATATGTTTTGGTATTTCGGGATGGATCGTGATTGGATTTTGGGTTTTTTGGTCGAAATCTGATATTTTTTGGATGTGGAAGCCTAAAATTTTATTTCCTAATTTCATATCAATTAAAATTTAGGTTTTTTTACCTCATATTAATTTGAAATTTCATACTAATTGAAATACCAATTCGTTCATAGCAAGTCCAATTGATGTTCCAAAGTTCCAAATTACTTAATTTCATACTTTTATTTCTAATATTGTCTACTATCAAACTACTTAAGTTCAACATTCAACATGCATGAAATTAAAATAAATATATATATATTTTTAGTTTGATTTGGGATTCTCGAACCATTGAATATGTAATCTCGATTCTCGTATCGAAAAATTTGGGATCGATTTGGTATGAATTTTGAAAAATTTGGTATTATCGGTTTGAGAATTTTTCAGTATGAGATCAAAAAAAAAAATTATTTGGTTTGGGATTTGCGGAAAAGTTTCCAGCCCTGGACTAAATCCAGAAAACAAGACTCCCCAAAACTTGAAGCAATTTTAGCATACTTGTCAAATAAGTACAAAGAAGGAAAAAAAAGGATAAAGTTGTAAAGAAAGCAAGGGTCCGACGTGGCCCAACTTATCCTAAAACGCGCGTGGTGCATTACAGTGTGACATGTCCTCTGGATCCCACCTCAGAGAGGAGACCCCACCATGACGTTGACCACGGCCCCTCCCCTATATCGTTTTCTTCTCCGGATTTCGCACACGAACACGAGTGGCTCTAACAATCCAACACCTCTCCAACCATCATTTCCCCATCTACCTCACAATTCCACCCGCACCAAAAACCCTAAAATTCAATCCCAAAATTCTCCCAAAGAAGCTCAGCAGCTATGTGGAGCGGTGGAGAAGCTAGTGGTAGTGGCGGTGGCGGTGGTGCTGGCGTCGGCCGTGGAATCTACTGGGGACGGAAGGAGGAGGTCTCTGATTCCAAAGGAATCGTTGTTATCTTCGCTTGGGTTTCGATTCAGGAGAGGCACTTGCAGAATCACGTGGATTTGTACTCCTCTCTCGGTTGGAATTCCCTCGTTTGCCATTCCCATTTTCTCCATGCGTAAGTGGATTTTCTTTTCTCGCATTTTCTCACCACCCAAACAGAACAAACATTTACATGAGCTGTTTTTTTTTTCAGATTCTTTTTGTACTGAATCTTTCGTGGGTTTGCTTGTATTTGGTAGATATTTGGTTTATGATTCATGGATGGGTTTAAAGATTGGATTTTTATTCAGTTTTTGCTGCATTTTGAGCTGATTTTTTTGCTCTGACGATGACATTATGTGCAGATTCTATCCCGAAAAGGCCATGTCGTCCGCCTTTGTTATTCTCAACGAGCTTGTTGAGGTCAGCTTCCTTCCCAGTTTGCCAATTTCTTATTAATCGCTTCTTCAGATTTTGATCCATATGTTAAATATGGAGCTACGATCTGATTCCGGGGATAATGACTGTATCGTTAGTTGTGTGTGTACGTGTATTACTCGCCCAATGGCGAGAAAGAACCCAACTCTTATATGGCGTAAAATCCTATTCCCATCCCATTCTAACTTCAAATTGCTTTTAATGCCGGATGAATTTGGCATGCATAGCTTTTAATTTTGCTCAAGTTTAATCTATGGAGTGTCCCTGTTATTTATTTATTTTGGGTATGCAGGAGCTAAGGGTTAAGCCATGTCCTGTAGTCTTTGTGGCTCTTTCTGCTGGTACAAAAGCTTGTATGTACAAGGTTTTTCGGGTAAGTTCTGTGAGTAGTGGATACCCGACTTTGTATCTGGTACTGATAAGTTGATTTCTGGAATGTTAGAAGTCTTAACTAGTCTTTTCTGATTTCATTACAATGGTTGTACTGTGTAATATAATAGCTTTGAAAAATGTAAATGCAGATTATTGACGGAATTTGTGAAGGTCAGCTTTATCCGGTATGTGTTTCTTTGTAGTTTCAGTTAAAAATTGTGCAGTAATTTGTTCATAATGCCCATTTGATCCCACATGTTCATTTTGAAACTCTGTTCTTATTAGTTATATAACTTTGTGAAGGCTGAATATCGATTGGTCAGAAAGTGTATTACTGGACACATCTATGATTCTGGTCCAGTTGATTTTACAAGTGATCTGGGCACTCAATATGCTCTACACCCAACCATTCTAAAGATGCCTGGATCTTCAAAACTGGTTTCTTGGGTAGCTAAAGGCATTGCTTCCGGTTTGGATGCGTTGTATCTTACTAGATTTGAATCCCAGTGCGCTGAGTATTGGCACGCTCTGTTTTCATCTGTTGTAAGTTGTCATTCAGCCTTTACTCATCTATAGCTGTCTATTGTTTGTTTCTGTTAGTTAATGAACTTATTTAAGTTTTTTTTTTCTGTAGAATTTGGGTGCTCCATTTCTCGTTCTGTGCTCTGATAAAGATGATCTGGCCCCCTATCATATTATCTGCAATTTCACTCAACGTTTACAAGAACTTGGAGGAGATGTCAAGCTTGTGAAATTGAATGGCTCCCCTCACCTAGGTTTGTCTCAAAACATTTTCCCTTTTCTGTCCTTTTCTGTAATTTTAATATCCTTAGAGTGCACTACCTACGAAAGTTACATCGCTCATCAGCAGGTATCTGGAAACCAGTAGACATAGCTTAGCACTGCTCTCTAACATTATCTTTGTAGTAATGTAAGAAATTATATCATTTTGTTTGGGTGATGTTATGGCATGTCAAGCGTGTTCAACAGGCAACTCTCTTGAACAGTATAAAATGTTCTATTGAAACTGTCTGAATCCTTGTGGGCACCATCGTATTTTGGACAAACATAAAGTAAAAGCAATAGATGCAAAAGTTTTAAAATCATATGGTTAAAGCTTTGTTTAGTTTTTAGGAGGTTCAGAGGATTTTCATTCTCTTAGTTGGAGGCCGTGATTCAGTCAGTCTTGTACCATTAAACATGTGGTATATTTCATGCCAATCTATGGTAATGGGGAGTCTAGACCTGGTGCTGACCTTCAGTCCAACATGATTATTGGTAAAATGAACTTGCAGAATTGCAGATATAGATAGTTCTGCTCAGATATTTAAGTAGCACATAGAATTTTTCACATTTTTAACTCTCGGTTTACTTCAATGCTTGTGGCACATAAGAACTAAACAAATATAATTTTATGTTTGTTTCAGGTCATTATAAGCATTATCCAATACAGTATAGGTCTTCCGTTACTCATTTTCTTGAAAAGGCTGCCTCGGTATTTTCTCAAAGAATTAAAGAACTTGAAGGTGAAAATACTAACATGGAAGGCGTGCAAGATGAGATATCTGAACTAATATGTGATCTCCAGAAAGCAGCAGTTAACTCTAATCAGAGCCTTAGAAGAGTTGCAGTGGAGCCAAGCGACCACTTCTTCTTGCCAAGTTCAGCTGAGAATCAAAATAGTAGAGACTCTGGGTCTTTACAAGATGAAAAAAAAGAAAGATCCGTCTCTCTGCCCAGTCCCCCAAGCATTAGTGCACATAGTGTACTCGGCCAAGTCCTGTTTGATGTTTGTGTCCCTAAGAACGTTGAGGGTTGGGATATTAAATTTTGCGGGTCTTTGAATGGGCAGCCATTTGCCTCTGCTCGTAGGAATTCACCTCCTCGTGGTCTCAAAAGCTTTCGTCGCTCAAGATTATGACTTCTCTTATGGGTTAGCTGGAACTGAAGATCCTGAGAGATTCGATACAGATATTATTCCAACAGGATGGTGCACAATGAATTAGTGGTTGCAACCAAGGTGAGGACTGCCTTTTCGGGCATCTTCAGGGGTATCCAGAGTAAACCATGCTTATTCCAACTCGTTGGTCTGGTCCTCTGGAATGAAGTGTACAGAATCTACAGATGGAATGAAGGATAATCACATGTGTTTAACAACGTAACGTATATATGTTTAATATAGATTTTGTCCATCTGATGACGCATCGAAATGCATAGATGCCGGTGATCTCGACGGTTGATGATGATACATATCGCCAGGAGTGAGGTCAGCCGTGACGCCGCCCGAAACGACCATGAAGGGAGTAACTATGACAGTAGATGTTGGATGAATCATGACTAAGATTTGTACACTGTAAATAGGAGGAAGATGGATATTGTAACTTTTCCTGAATAAGCTAATAAAAACTGGATATACATCAGAAAATTTAGTACTGATTGAAATCATTTCGTACGAGTATGACTCATGAAGGCATAGAAACTTGTAATTTCGACCTTCTCTTGCCATTTCCAAAATGGTGTTTGCCGTATTGGCAAATCATTATTATGAAATTATGAATCTCAACCCATAAGTAGGTTCCTCCTTCGTCAAGATAACACTAGTGGCGGTGAATTGTGTGCATACCCGAATAGCTCGGTGATCCGACTATTCAGTATTGATACGTTTATCTGATATGAATGAATATGTTTTTTATGCTGTTGATAATATCGATACTCCAATTACGTTATTATAGATATATATTGTTTTGATATATTTGTTGGTACCAAATATGTTAAACCCCACCCCTGAACTTATATGTAATTTTATATTTTTTCAAAGTTTTATTGAATTTATCATTTTGGTCCCCTAGCTTGACTAAATTTGGAACCTTTATCCAGATTCCTAAACTCCCTCAAACTACCACGTGGCAGCACTCTAACAAACCTCATTCTCTCTCTGTCCCCCGGTATCTCACTCCCGTCTCTCTCTCACTCACTCCCCGATCTCTCACCCCTCAACCTACACCCGAGAGCACCACACCACCCTCCCCGACATCAACGGCGTCATCATCGTCATCATCATCCTGCCGTCTCTTTCTCTGTCCCTCGACATCTCACTTCCCTCCTCTTTCCCTCTCTTCACCAAGACACACTCACACACCCAGCTGCACTCCCTACTCGAGGAAGACACAATCACCATCTAAACCTCGTCCCTTTCCTCTTCCTCTCGTCTCTGCATAACTCGGCGAACCCAGGAAAAGAACCTCTGGTGAGTTTTCTTAAATTTTCCGGTTGGGTAAGCTTTAGATCTCCTCTTAATCGTTGTTGAGTACGCATGCATGATGTTTGATGGGTTTCATCTTGTTTTTATTAAGGTTTTGAAAACGGGAACGGCGCAGGGGAAAACTCACCCATTTTTCCGACGAACCCGTGATTTTCGAGGAGCTTTCCAATCAGATCCGGCCAAAACGAGGGTATATTATTACTCCTCTCTCTCCCCTCTTCATTTTGATGTGTAGTTTGAATCTTGGATGGCACGTTTGCCGTCGACCGAAGCTGTAGCAGCTCCGGTGTTCTTCTTCGAGCACCACGCAGGCCACCAGGCCACTCACAGGCCTTAGCCCGTATTTAGACGACTCAGAACCATAAAACCTAGCCCAATTCCTCTTATTTTCAGCTAATTGTTTTAAAAAATCCAAAAAGAGGCCTCAGGTTTTATTCAAATGGGTTAAGCCCAGCCTTCTTTTTAGTTGGTTATTTGGCCTATGGGCCGTGCTTTGCTTTGGGCTGAGGATTGTGTGTGTTGTGTGTGTGTGTGGTGTGTGTGTGTGTCCGTGTGGGTGAGTGTGTGTGTGTGTCAGTGTGTGTGTGTGTGTTGTGTGTGTGTGTGTAGTGTGTGTGGTGTGGGTTTGGGCTCAAGCCCAAACCACCCATTTGTTCTTACCCAAACCCAAAACCCAATAAGTCATAACCCTATTTAACCTAAACCTAACCCCTAATCCGGATCCAAACCCAAGACCCAATTCCATTTCTTGAAATTCTATAGTTGGGTAGTTTGATAAATTGTACTTTTTTGTGCTTAGGTGAAGTTGCTAGTGGGGATTTCCTTGATCATTTTCCGCATAACTCTGCTGCTACGGAGTATCTGTGAGTGGACCACTTCTAAAATTTGCATAATTTTATAGTTTAATTTCATAAATGAAATGCATGCCTTACGAGTTTATGAACTGATTTTATGTTAAGCATGTTTATTGAAATGTTGATTATCGTCTCGTTCTTTTGTAAGGAATTAATTGTTGGCCTATATTGAGCTATATTTTAATATATATCGTATTTTCTATAAAAACCATGAATTAGTAGACTATCTGATGGATGACGATAGGATGCTAGAACATGTTCTCGAAACCCCTCTTTATAGTATAAACGATGGATAACTTTATACTATGAAGTGGTTATTTTGAGAGGCGTAACTATTTGTGCGTACCTAGTGGACACTATGTCGCCTGAGGCGAGGATCTGGTGTTGGCAGTTAGGCCGAGAGAAATAATCCCTAACGAAAGGCTGAGGGACACGGAGACAAGCATTGGGCCGGGAGTATTATTATTCAGTGATCCTACTAGCAGCACACCGCGCTTACGAGACGATACACGGGATGATTTATATGATGTTTTTCCGCGTTATACCTGATGAGATGTTTTATGGCATGCTAGAGTTTCAGAAAACCTATCATTTATTATGCTAGTAGTTTTCATTATTTATAAACCTGGGGGTTAGTATGTTCGTAACTGTTTTCGTATTATACATATATATATATATATATATATATATATATATATATATTATATATATATATGAACTTGGTCCACTCACCCTTGTTTTGTGCCCCATTTTAGGATTTAGAATCGAGGCATACGATCCCGATGTCAACGCTTTCGCATTGGCATATTTGAGTCCTCTCGGTGTAAGACCCACATCCTTTTATTTATTCAATTATTTATTAATTCTTTTAGAGCTCTAGTTAGTTGTATGCTTTGAACACGTTCCTAAATTATTAACTCATTGTATTTTAAATTCATAACCCTTATTTACTTCTTATTCTTAGCTTTTGTATAAATTAATGGCTTTCGTCACCCTCGGGTGTCGGCTAGCACGTGTCTATCCTGGTATTCGGGGAATATCAAGGTCGGGACGTGTCAAAATAACTGATGATGTGGCAACATATTATTTCTGAACTACTTTTACTTTCCACTCTTCTTGTAGTTTAATCCATTAAATTCAAATTTTGATTTATTTAACATAATGGCTAGAAACTAAAGATGTGTTTGACAAAAAGCAAAACACAGTGACTAGTGACTAGAGAGGTGGTAGAGCTCTCAGGCTGAGAGTTTATCAACACACCAATGGCGATGGCGGTGACGCAGGAGTGGAGACACACCCAAAACTTCATGCTGGCCATGAACGTTAAGCAAGAAGAAGTCTCTGAATCTGAGTATTTCCCAGAAGAAAAAGAAGAACACGACCATGAAGAAGAAGGCAGCTTGACCGTTTCCCATATGTATAAGTACAATGTAGCTTGTTTTTGTGATTTTCGACACGGTCCTTATATTTTCGGCGGTTTTACTCTGTATTCTGCTGCATGTCATGACTCAAAAACCAATAATTTGGTTGATATTTGTCTTCAATTATTTTGGAGCTGACCCCGTCCGTCTTTGTCAAGTCTATGATACATTCAAACGTGTCCTCTTGCTTTTGTTTGGTGAGCTGTAACTCTTAACTGTTGCGCCAAGTTTATAAGTGTGATCACGAAATTTTCCTGAAACAAACGAGACAAGAACACATGTACAAAATAATATTTTGGATTAATGATTTAGGGGTTACAATCTCTCTCAAATTTGATCATCTGATTCGATCTCCATAAGGTGTTGATTTGTGGATTGTGATGCTGATCCAAGGGCCGTCGAGGCTTGATCTCGGATGAATGGTTGGAAGTTTCTTCAAGGGGGCCTTTTGGGCTTGATCTTGAAGGTTGATGGATGAACGGATCTTCAAGGGGTTTTGGGCTTGATCTTGAAGAACTGTTGATGAACGGATCTTCAAGGGGCCTTTGAGGCTTGATCTTGATGAACAGTTGATAGATGGATCTTCAAGGGGCTTTTGGGCTTGATCTTGAAGAACTGTTGATGAACGGATCTTCAAGGGCCTTTGGGGCTTGATCTTGATAAATAGATCTTCAAGGGCTTTTGGGCTTTATCTTGAAGAACGGTTGGATGTGTGGATTTGTTGATGTTGTTGATCCAAATGGCGGTTGGGGCTTGATCTTAGGATGAACGGATGATGAACGATGAACACTTTTCTCAAGGGCCGTCGGGGCTTGATCTTGAATGTTGAGTTAACGAAGAACGAAGAGGGCTTTCTTGATTCTTCGGGATTTGCTTAGGAGTTTTTGGAGTTTCAAAGCTTTAAGGTTTTGGTGTGAGGTGAATTGGTTATGAATTCCTTTTCTGAATTGGTTATGAATTGGTCCCCCCAAAAATGAATGCCTTGGCCTCCTATTTATAGAATTCCAAAACTTGATTTTTTTGGATTTAAATAATCAGATGAAATAAATCATTTCTGCCAGGTGTTGACACATGTCCTGTTTGATGACTTTTCTGATTTATTTTGATTTTTCGTTTAGTCACATGCTATGTGTAAAATTTATGTGACACATGAACGTTGAAATTTTAATTATTGATCAACATTTATTTCACCGAAATTTCGATGTCTACAAATGCCCCCACTTCAAGGCGCGTCGTATACATGTACTTGTCACGTGCAGAAGATGCGTTTTGAAGTCCCTTACTGCAGATGTCGATCCAAGGGCCGTTGAGGCTTAAGCTTGAACTGGGTTGGTAATTTCTTCAAGGGCCGTCGGGGCTTGATCTTGAATTTGGCTGGAAGATTTTCTAGTTTCCTCCAATTGTTGATTTTCCACAGGCTTAATCTTGAACTGGGCTGGAGGGTTTTCTGGTTTCCTCCAAAGGACTTTCCACAGACTTAATCTTGAACTGGATTTGATTCAAGGGTGGTGGACACTTGATCTTGGATCGGACTTGTGATTTCTTAAAGGGCCGTTGAGGCTTGATCTCGAACTTAAACATGACCACGAGTAGTTTCAGGACATGCATGCTTTAAAAGATCAAGGAAGTTCGTAGCATTTTCATATGAACCCTGAGCAGTTTGGTCAACGGTATGATCTTCAAGACTGATGGGCTCTTCTTCCAGTTGGTGACTTGATCTTTAAGGATTATTGAGACTTTGTTCTTCGGCGATAGTGCCAGCGAAAGGTTGTTGAAGCTTATCGAGCTCTTTGATTATAGCAACGATGGCAGACTTGGATTTGACTTAGACCCCTCCGTCTGGATTATGCAGTTTGGTCGAGAAGGGTGTCCTGCCATAATGATTTGTCCTAGCTCATCGTGCTG